GCGCTTTCTATGGAAAATCAGCCGAAAGATACTTTTGTATCTGTATCTATAGCTGTAGTTGTAGCTGTAGTTGTAGCTGTAGTCGTAGCTGTAGCTGTAGCTGCGTCTATGTTTAGATAATGCAATTTGATATGCTCGCGTGCTGTAACACGCAGTCTCGCAGCACTCAGCTTACGTCCATGGCAAGAAATATGGTTAAATTCGATAAGAACGCCTAACGCATGGAGCGTTACGTAACTGATAAGCGCGCGTTACGTCACACGTTGACGTAAGGTCCTGGCATAGAGCACACTTTTTGCCAGAAATGACGCCAGTAATATCTAGGTCGCATGATTCGATATCAAATTTTATTTTTTTAATTTGATTAGATTTGAACTTAACGTGTTTTATCTTCATGTTAAAGTGCATGTTAGGCCTTGTGGTGGCAAGAATCACACACACGCTTTGAATGTCTATATATATATATATATTTATCTTAAATTGTGCTTCAATGTTCATGTTAAAGTTCATGTTAAACCTAATCGTATTCAATTGAAGAATTGCTTATAAAATCTTTTAACTTAAATTACCCTTATCGTCCGCACTCTCTTATTTCAATTGTCTTTTTATGCAGCTGTAAAAGTTGTTGTCAAGTCTCTTTGCATTTATTAATTGACAAAAGCTATTGCCAGACTCTTTACAGCTGACACTTAAGAACCAAATAGTTCGAATTGTATTTCCATCACTTTAACTTCAAGTTAGAACTCATTGCATTTTATAGCAGCATTTCAATTGCCTGAAATGTTCAGCACTTAACGAAAGAATGCGAAATATATTGGAGATCCCGCAGAAAGTGTTTGTTAATTCTGACATAGCTATAAAACTACTGGCAAATGCGGATGCCAACGCAAACATCAACTATTTATGGTCTTGATAACAAGTTGACAATTATCAACTGCTGCAGGCAGCATTTGACATGCAGTTGCTAGCTATTAGAACTGGGCAATGAGCTTAACAGCCTGGCAAATGTCAAATAGTTGACATTTGGTATGGAAGTGGCTGTCCACTTATTGATAAAGAGACACCTAGTCAAATATTTGCTGACCTCCACAAGCGATCACAATCAAGCTAAAGTGTTGGCCTTGTCGATATCTCTTTATTTGACTGTTGGTTAACAATCGACTAACAGGCAAACAGGAAGAATTTGCAAGTGCATGTTAGGGCATTTCACGTTCGTATTCAACATTTCAGTCACACACACGAACACACATTGAGTTGTTTGATGCGTTTGCATGTTTCTTGTCGCTGAATTTTGTCTCTGTCGCAGCGTGTGTGTTGGCCATCTATTTATAGATGTTTGCTTCAGACTGGGCTATTACAAAATGCATATAACTATTGCCTATTCATTGGTGCTCTGCATGTTGTTGTTGTCAGTTGTTGGACGTTGGCCAGCTGTTGGACTGGCATGCCTCAGCCCCTCCCCAGGCTCCGATTCTGCTTCTAGCTGCTGCATTTTTAGCCCCTTTTGGTAAGAAGGGCAACTGGCTGACTAATTGTTGATGAGACGCTGCTCGAACGTTCGCTTCTCGCTTCGAGTTGGTGGCTGCTGGCTTCTTGCTCCTCTATTATTGTTGCCAGCTTCTCTCGCCTTATTTCTCATTGTCTCTCATCGATCCTAGCTTCTCTCTGTTTCTCTCTCTCTCTCACTGAACATTTCTCATATCTGACTTCTCTTCTCGTTTCTCCCTCACTCTTCAGTCTTCCTTTCTCTGCTCGCTTCTCCTTCTCTCTCTGACTCTCTCTCTGTCTCTGCTCCTTCTCTCTCGTTAGATCTCGTTTGTCTCTCAACGCTTCTCCATTTTAACTTCTTGCTTTTCTCGCCTCATTTGTCTCTCCGGACAACTCAACACTTCTCTCTCCCCGCTCCACACTGCCCGCCCTCACAGCTGCCAAATGTAATGCACGCAAGGCGGAAGAGCCAACTGCCGTCAATTGACAAAGCCAACACACTTTGCGCTATCTACAACTGTCTGAAGCGGCTGGGCCAGGGGAGCGGCGGGAGGTGTCCTGAAGCGTGTAAGGTTCAGTTATTTGCTTAAATCTAATGCATGCGCCAATTGTTGATGTTGCTGTTGAACTTGAGCTCAAGTGTCAAGCGTTTTGGCAAATGACAGCAGCAGCAACTGTTGCTGCTGCTCTGATCGACAGACGAACAGCAACAGTTGCTCCTGCTGCTGGATTCCACGAAAAATTGCAAGAGATCTCACATGCCAGGCGAATACATATATATATATACATATATATATATATATATATATATATATATATATATCTATATCTATATCTATATGGCAACACATGGACTGCGCTGGGTGGCAACATCTTGTGTCCATATGTTGTAAAAACAAACAATTGAGAACAACTACAACAAGAGCCGACAGCATGCGAAAGAAAGCAGCCAAATGAAATGTATCTCAAGAATTGATTTGCTCAGCGCGAAAACAAAACAAAAAGAATACAACATTCTGTGTATAAAAGCATAAAAAAAGAAACGAAAGCAGGCTCTAGCCTGCAAGTTTTGCGGCAACTGTTTGCTGTCGTTGCAAATATTTTGACAGCCAGACAGAGAGATGGACGGACAGGCAAGAAACCTGATGACATGCAGGCCACATCTGTCAGTCGTATGCACATATATATCTAGATACCTACGGCTATGTACGTGTCTATAGCAGATGCCCAACTAGATACGCTCGGTGACTTGCAGATACATTTGTATCTCATGACTGTGATTAGCATTGTGCAGCTAAACGATGCTGGCGCCAACTGCAATGCAACATTTTTTTTGTTTTAACTAGCAATTGTTAATTGGATTGGCTGCCTGCATGGCGATTGCCGGATAATTAGATGCCTTGAGGCGACACCTAGCGTTCAAGCTGATCACTTCGCGCAGATAGGCTCAGGCGACACCTGTTGGCAACCATAAGCAGTGTAACTTATATATATATTGTAACTGAAGTCAAATCTGAGCTCCAAAAGTGAGCATCGCTTACTCCATTAACACAGTTAGTGTAATGTGATTTAGGAGCTGTTATGCTACGACTGTTAAGCTATTGATATCGCTTGAACCTGTGCGTATGCGCATTCTGTAAACATATTACGCATACGCCGGATGTAACGGCATGGCTGTGTGTGTGTGTGTCTGTGCGCTTTGTCGCTGTTCCCATTCGATGGCTTGCTCTTATTTTGCTCTGCTTCTTCTATATGTTTTTCCTTTCGCAGAACCGATAACCCGCCAGTTACAGCTATTGGCATTATTCTCCCTCCGTCCGCTTCCCCATTTGCGCTTCCTCTACTTCTTCTTCGTCTTCTTTTCTTTTTTCGAAATGTTAATTTAAGAAATTATTTCATTGCGAGACGACGACAACGTTGACTTCTTCGACTACATGTCATTAACACGCTGATAAGACGGCTATCAGCCATTAGCTATCAGCTCATTATGATGGTCACACACACACGCCACGCACACGCATACGCACACGCACACGCACACAAACATAGATAGAGAAATTAGATGACAATCGAACGCCTTTTATAATTGGCAAAAAAAAAAATATTAAAAAAAAAGATTAAAATTTCACATTTGTGAAATCGAAATTGGCAACAAAATAAATTTCAATTTTATTCTGTTTTTTGATTTGATAACCCCGAAAAAACTTGACCCAAGCGCTTGGCCTGACAGACAAAATAATTGTTGTTAATATTTCTTCTTTGCATCTTTTCGTTTTCTAAATTAATTAATTTCAAAAATAAAATGTATAATTCAAAATTGTCGCAATCAAAATCCGGTGTCAGTTCAAGAGATCTATGTACGCTAGGGTAGCCAAAAGGCGCTTCTAAAAAGCTGCTTGTGGAACCATAAAGAAGTACTACTCTCTCTTTCCTTCTCCCTCCATCCCTGCCTCTCGCTCACTCACTAATAAGCAGTGCGTGCCGCTTCTTCTGTTTCTTTCGACTTTTAATGGATCTCATTTTCATTGGATTTTTATTAATTTGTAACAAGCGAGCAAAGGTCAAACAGCAAAAGGTTTACAAAAATAAATATATTTACATACGTCTATATGGGATTGTGTGCGTGTGTGTGAGTGAGACTGTTTCCCCACTAGGGGCCCTCTTTACACATTATTTATATTTATTTTTTATTTTTGTTGCTCTTTTTTTGTTTAATATTTATGTATCTGCGTTGTAAAATAGTTCAAGTTCGTTGTTGTTGTTCGTTTCGTGTTGTGTCATCTACATCAAGAAAACTAGATCATGCGAGCTCTATACGTATGTGTGAGGATGTTGTACAGAAAAGCGAGAACGATTCTTGATGCTTCTAGCTATATATATATATATCTATTCTCTAGAAATCATATTCATGAGTTAGCCAGATGTTGTCACCATGGCTAGCGGAATGCCATTAATATATGATTGTTTCATGAAATCAAAGCGTTTCGCTTCTAATTAAACATTTACAAGTCTCTAGAGTAAAAATTATTGAAAATAAAATTAAAATAATGTTAAATGTCTTCAGAGCAATTCTTCTCATACATCAAAGTATTCCAGACATCAAAGTTTTTGTCAGCTTTTATCTACGATTTTCAGTAAAAGCTTAGATTTGACAGATATTGAAATAAAGTCTGCTGCCTTCGAGATATCCTGCCAGTCTGTTAAGTCTTTACATAAGTTAGCTTCTGTTAATACTGAACACTTTTCAGCTAACACGAATTGCAGGATAATCAAACAACAAGTGTTCCTGTGCATTTTTGATGTTTATTTGTAATCTAAGTACCTGTTAAAACTGTTTGATCGTGTCATTCTAAATGCTTAACATAAATCTATTAAGCGTTGCTTAACGCTTTGCAATCCTTTGGCATTGACCTAACCAGTTGAATCGGTTAACCGCTTGGCTCAGCTGTGTTCACATGCTCTCGCACTCTCTCTCTCTCTCTTTGTATCTGTTAATCTTTTTTTCTACTCACCTTGGCATTCAGCAGCGGTACATGGCAGGCGTTCAGAACGAGGACAACGGCGAAGAGGCGCCAGAGCAGCGACAGCGCGTGTCGCTGCCGCAACGTCGCGGCCGTTTGGGATCCCGTTGATCCCATCGTCTGTGTGTGTGTGTGCTTGCACGCGTGTGCGTGTACGGGATATTTGGCAGCTATTCGGTTATTTAGTTGTTGGTTTGTTTGAACTATCTAATTGTATTGGGCAGTTGAAGGGTTCGTATTCGAGGTGTTGCGTCTGATGCGTTTAGACGTTGTAAATAAATGAAAAAGTTACGATGTTTATGGCACTGCAAGAGAAAAAACGAATTTTCAGCACTTGTTTGCTCAGGAACAGGCAAATTATAAAGTCTGCTGCGTCAGCAGAAAATCGAAAAAAAAAACTAAATAAAATAATATACAAAACAAAATAAAATGACTGAAAAAAACGGGAGTTTTATGTATGAAACCGAAAGCTGCACCCGTAAAAGCAAAAAGTGCAACAAAAAAAAACTAAAATCAAAACGCGAATTCGCCAGAAAACGCAGAAGAAAAAAAACAGTTTAAGAAGACGAGGAGAAGAAGAGGAATAGGGATCAAATTATGAAGCAGAGCCTAAGCAGAAGCTGTCCCGAAATTCGAAATTCCAACAGAGCCCGAATACTGAAATTCTCTTCGCTCTCTTATTTTTTTGGGCTTTTCCTTGATCTGCGCGAAGTTATTTTTTATTCCTTTTGCATTTCGCGCGCGACGTTTATAATTAATTTTTTAGCTATTTTTTCTGGTTTTGTTTCCTTTTATTTAATTCGTTCGGTTTGTTCATAGTTTCGCACTTTGTTCGTTTCAGTTTTGTTAACTCTGACTTCAGCTCAAAAAATAAAAAAAAAATGCAGAAAGTACAGAGAAAAAGTAGCCAAAGTCAAAAATGTTTAGCGATCATGCAAAGGGGCGCGCGCGCATATTGTACGTTATCCTTCGAAGCACCAGAAAAAAAATATATTTTTCTTAACACTTGATTTGACCACTTTAAAAAAAATATGATATATTGTCAAAAAATTGCACTTGAACAGCAGCACGGAGCGTGTAAGCAGAAAAAGAATAACAATTGTGAGACAGCCTGGCGGCCAGGCGAATCGCAATCGTCGCTAAGGCAAACGCACCGAAAATTGTGCGACCGTCTCGTACAACGGCGCGCAACCGAATGTTAAAGTGGAAGAACTCTGACGCGAACGCCGCTGCACCGTAGAAGAAACGTGCGACACGACCGACACGAGCGCAAGCCCGAAGACAATCGAAGCGTTAGTATAAGCGCGCACTTGCACAGACCCAAATACACATACGCGATGTACCATGGCGCAATATACGTAAAAAGCCGGCTAAATATTTGAATGAGAAACTCTTACACTGAAATTACTTCTGCACGCTGTAAAATTTCAAAATATGTTATAACAAAATTATAAATACATCTATTAGCTTTGATTATTTGGCATATTTTTTAAGAACATTGGCAAAAAATATTAAGAATTTGATTAAATGACAATTGAACAATGAACGTTATTAAGATTATAAGCAATTTAAAACAATGTATGCTTGCAAGTTTTTTGATTGGCGAATATGTGTCATTCGTACCACTTCTTTGCGATGCGTGTCGGTGTGTTGTGGGTGGCTTTGGTCGAAGTGCTCTGCTGGCGTCGCTGCGTTGTGCGACTGCTGCAAAACGTTTATCGCGCAGAGCGCTTGTGCAACTGGCTCTCTTTATTTATCGGTAACAGGATGCAAAGCTGAGGCTTTGCACTAAATTCGCCTTATGGCGAAATGAGCGAAATGTGTGTGAGAGCTTGTGATGGTGGCTGGTCGGGCTGGTCGTGGAGGGAATTAAGAAGCGGGGACGCCGACGCTGCCAACTTGAGCGGCCAGCGCACGTTTAACTGGCACAACGGCAATAAAAGCAACAACGTCGACGTTAGTGTTGTGCTGCGGCTGCTGCTGCTGCTGCAGCTCTGTAGGTCAACTGATAAATTGGCGTGAAGAGACCAACACTAACCGAAAAGGCAACCCAAATGCAGCACCCACTGATAGAGCGCATGTTTGTAATTGCCTATATGTACATGCATGTCTGCATGTGTGTGCCTTTGTGAGCATGTTTTGTGGGCTTGAGTGCAGATTTGTTATTTGTCTTATGGTCGGTAGATGGCGCTGCTTGCATTTGCTATTAGTGCAGTTCTCTTTGTTTTACATCTCCTTTTCAACACTTTTTGTGTTCAGCTTTCAAGTTGTTTGCATTTTGAATTTAGTTTGTCGTGTTGATACTAAGATACCTTTGAAACATGTTCAATTTAACTTTTAATTATTTTACACAGTTTGACCGTAAATTTCATCATGTTTTCTCGCAAAAAAGCTAAAATACTCAAGCTAATATATACATAATATGTAAGCATATTATTTTTATAATAAATGTAAATGTAAATATAATAAATGTAAATATAATACATGTATTTAAATTTAAATTTAAATTAATTTTTCTAAATAAACGTTATCTACCCACACCAATAACTGGGGCGCCTTTGAGTTGATACATTGATTGCAGCTAAATGTATCTTGAACACAGATATGCCGTCTGCGCTCTACAAATACGAGGTATTTGAGGCAATTCAGTCTGGCAGCGAGTTCAAGTGGGAGAAAAGTTGCAGAATGTGAGAGTTTTTGTTTTTTTTTTTTTGACGGTTTTCATATTGTTTCACTGAGGAACAACATTTCACTTTTCAGACCAGACCAGACTCGGGCCAGATATGGAAAAGATATAGATAGTTGCATTTCAAGATATAAACAAAGTAAGCTGAAGTATCTTTGTTTGTAGAAAGCAATAAGGCTTATCAAAAGGAATTTTTGAACCTACCATAGACGTTGAGAGAAGTAACTTTAAAAAACTCAGATTCAAGGCCCGAATCTCTTAATTCTCACTCAATATAGCAATATATCAATATATCAATATATCAATATATCAATATATCAATATATCAATATATCAATATATCAATATATCAATATATCAATATATCAATATATCAATATATCAATATATCAATATATCAATAAAGCAAAGGCAAAAAAAAGCCAATAGTATCCAGAAAGCTTCTGCAGTAAAGGATGATGGAGGGCTTAGCCCCAGTTGCACAGCGGGCAATGGTGAAGTGATTCAGGCAACCAGGACGACGTAAGAAGGAAATGCAAACTGCGTTCGGCGAATCCGGATCTGGATCTTGATCTTTATATTGGACTCTGTAGCAGTTCCGTTGACCCCGGCGAAAACAAGGTCTTAATTGGATACGTAGGTGGCATCGCGTTCGTCATCGCCGCCAGAAACTCCGTGAAGACTCAGCGAGGACTTAGGTAAGTCAACAATATATCAATATACTTCAATATAAGTTTCTCATTCTCTGGCTGCAGGATCAATGCGAGTCCTGGCGAATTGGCAGTAGCTGCCAATGGGTGGCCAATTGCTGCCACCTGCTGCCGTTGGCCACCCACGCGCCACCCACGACTGGCGGCCTTCCCATTGGCGCCTTTTGAGCTAGAAGCGCGTTCAACGCATGCGCCAAACCCGGCACAGTGCAGTGAACCCCCCTTTCGGCCGCCCAGCCGCCCAGCCGCCCGGCTGGCAACGACCAATCGGCGCGTTGCGTTTTTCGCCGTAGAAGCCGAGCCAAAAGATTTGGATTGTGGCTTCCGTTGTTGATAGTCGCTCGTCTAAAAATAATTTTAGATGAGCATTTTAATTACTTGGACGAAAAAGATAATGCGAATGCTGCTGCTACAGCTGCTGCTGCTGTTGCTGCTGCTAGTGTTACTGCTGCTGCCACTGCGACCTGTCCTATCAGCGGGATGCCACAGTATTTGGGTCAGTCTGACCAAGAACACGCCAATGCCCAAGATCTGGGCGGATGCCCGCCTTTCTACAGAAGTCAAGAGGTGGCCGCGACTTATCGCCTTATGCATATCTCTAAACATACCTACACACACACACATATATATATATATATATATATATATATATATATATATATGTATATATATATATATGTATGTATATATATATATATGAATTTATATGGATTTCTATAAAGATGAAAACCGCAATCCGAAAGACAAACATAGTAAAAGTAGTAAACACCAAATACCCTGACAAAATATATATATATACATATACATCAAAAAAACAAATATATATATATATATATATAGTACACATTATATAGTATATAGTATATAGTAAATAGTATATAGTATATGGTATATTGTATATATATCTACTATCTATATAATGTAGTACCGGTACTATCATATATTTATATTCATATTTTTCCTATTGAATTATATGATATAGTATATAAGTATATACAGCGATATTGCTAAAGATCCAAGCTATACAAATTAAATTTTAATAATCCACTTTTCAAGTAGCAACCATCTGATATGGGTAGATATTGTAAAGGAATCAGCTGATGCCCTATTTACATGAATACAAATAGATAGATAGTTGAAACTATTCTCTAGACCTTACACTGATTAAGAAAGCCTAATCTAAGTCTAAGGAGTCAACTTCCATATCAAATTGTAGCCAGTTGTTATGTTAGGTAAGAAGAGTATCGCCCTACTTTGCGATTCTCATAACCTTAAGCGACCGTTGCTCAAGTAACTTAAGTAAAAAACCATTTAATATGGGCTCTACGACATTTCTGTCTGTACATTGCGTGAACATGTTATAATAACCTATGCTCAGAGTATTGGAAGAGGTTATCAGCCATCGAAGAGTGACGCAAATGTTAAGGCCAAGCGAAACGAAATTCACCACATTTGCTATGCGGCGGCTGTTAACGTTGTTGAAAAGCTGCCCGTTGCAGTTTGACAGCCACTGGGCGCAAGCACGCAAGCTTTTAGCCAAGCCAATCGAAGCTTGCAAGCTCTGTAAACTTTCAATATCCAAATGAATGCAAAATTCCTAACCATCTCGCAGAGCTGTATTGATTGTTATGCAACTTTTGCTGGCATAGGTCGATTCATGCGGCGTTTTCATGCTTTCAGCATAAAGCCCTATGACGTTGAGATACCTGAAGTTAGGCAAATGCTGCTTAGGATGATTCTTTTGTCCTCCTTATAGACTTGATAGAGCTGGAAAGTATATCTTAATCAGGATAACTAGCTGTATATAGCTCTACCCATATCTTTCTCTGGCTCTTATTTGATTTCCTAATACATCTGAGTTATAATTTTTGGGCACCTCTAAAAGTCTTATCTTTTTCATACGCGTTCACGGGATGAAGAGAGTTTATTGGTTCTCTGAAATGAAATTAATGAAATTTATAACATATAATTCGACTTACAACTTGTTAAGACATTTCCAATATCCACTGGAAACATGGCAAATCAAGTTTCCCGACTAAGCTATTGTTGATCAATAGTGATTTACCCAAACTATATATATATACGTCTTGGAGACTAGCAAATCGGAAATGAGACTATATCTGCCAAGACCCCAAAATTGGATAGTTGTGTTATATCAGGCACCTATCTATATATCTATCATCCATCAGATGATAGTCGCACGTGCCAAATCGGAATAGATCCAACGATTTTTGACCTATAATTATATATTTTATAATCACAAATATATATAATATATATATATATATATATATATATATTTTTTTTTTTTAGCTAATTTCTCTGAGCTGCAATACAGATAGCTGAAACCCAATGTCTGAGTCGGCGAGTGTTGTGCCATTAGCTAGACAGAGCTATTTCCTGGAAGTGATAATATATTAGGCATCTTTCAATAATCGTTCGCTAAAAACATTCGAGACTATTCAATATATCTAAGATCCGATTGCGATGGTTGCATTGCGTAAACATCAGTTTTTGGCGAGACAATGAAATTGAATACTTTGTTCTAATTCGAGCAATGCTGCGATTCGAGTGTAATGAGCATGGAGACTGGGGAGTGGGAAATGGCAAATGGCAAATGGGAAATGGGAAATGGGAAACGGAAATGCGAAATGGGAAATGAAGGCGGTTGGTTAGTTGCCAGAATCATTAAGTGTTGTGCAAACGCATCACCCACATAACGAATACCTATGTTTGTGAGTGTGAATCTCTGAGTGCACTCATTATAATGCTCACTAAGAGCTGCGAGCACTCTAAGCTAAGACAGTTGGGC